TGGCCAGCTGGGCTTAGCGGCATCCAGGGGGAGGCAGCTGCTTTTGCGGACAGGGAGGTTGCTGGGGCGGTGGTGCCGGGCTGTGTGTGTGTGTGGGGGCACATCTGCAGAAGCCTTTGTCTCGGCCATGGCTGCCTCCTCCGACGTCATCACCCTGGCTGAGGGGTGATGCTGCAGCCCCTCCGGGAGATCCTGACACCGGGGAGCCATGTCCGGGGCTCAGTCTGCCCCTCTGGCCACAGGACCCTCGCCCAGCACCCTGCACCCTGCCTGATATGCGGTGGCCTCAGCACGGCCTGCTCTTCCTGCTGGTGGGTGGTGCCGAGTGGCCAGAGTGGTGCAACAGCTGGGGAACTGTGTCTGGGGCTGCCCCTCGCCTGCCACTCCACAGCCTGCCTGACCTGCGGCAGCCTTGGTGTGGCCTGCTCTTCCTGCCAGTGTGTGGTGCCGAGTGGCCAGAGCAACGGCAGGAAAAGTGCGCAGCTGGGAAGTAACTTAACAAGTGACATTGGAAGTGTGTGTGTGTGTGTGCGTGTGCGTGTTTCAGGTGGGTCTCCTAGCTTTAGAAGAAGAGAGGGAAGGAGGAAGGGAAGGGATAGAGAGAGGGGGAAGGGAGAAAGAGAGAAACAGAGAGGAAGAGGAAGAGAGAGAGGGAAAAAGAGAGGGGGAGAGAGAGAAAGAGAGAGAAAGAGGCAAAGAGAGGGAAAGAGAGAGAGGAAGAGAGAGAGAGAGAGAGAGGGAAAGAGAAGGAAGAGATAAGAAAGAAAAGAAGGAAAAAGGGAGAGAGAAAGGAAGAGAAAGAAAGAAAAGAGATAGTCAAAGAGGGGGGATGGAAGGAAGGGACAGAAAGAAAGAGAAAGAAAGAAAGAGAGGGAGAAAGGAGAAAGTGAATGAGATATATGGATGGGTAGATAGATATACAGACAGAGGGGGGGAGGAAGAGAAAAAAGAAAGGAGAGAAAGGAAGGACACAAACCCTGGCTTCAGAAGACTCTTTGAAATGTCATTAATAGGGAGAATCTCAACAATCAAGATGAATATATTACCCAGAATTTTATACTTGTTTCAAACAATACCAATTAGGCTCGGAAAAGACTATTTTGAAGACTTAAATAAAATTGTTTTGAAGTATATATGGCAAGGCAAGAAAGCGAGAATAAAGTTAAAACTTTTACAAGATGCTAGAATTAGAGGAGGATTTAGTCTGCCTAATTGGGAGTTGTACTATCAAGCTGCAAATTTGATGTGGGCTAAGGAATGGATAACATTAAGAAAGACCAGATTGTTGACGCTAGAAGAACATGATTTGTTGTTGGGCTGGCATGCTTTTCTATGGTATAAAGGAACTAAAACACAGGGCTATAACATCATATACGGGAGTCTTTGTGGTTAAATTGGGAGAAGATTAAAAGACAATGTTATTTGAAAAACCCAGTTTGGTTATCGACTATTGAAGCTTTTTCCTATCCTATAATATATAAGAAGGAACAAACAGTTAGATATGGGGAAATATTGGATGAAAAGGGTGAACTTAAATCGATGCAAAATTTAGAGGAACAAGGTATAAAGATGAATTGGTTTTCATATGCGCAAATACATTCAAGGTTTGATGAAGATTTTAAAACAGAAGGATTCTATGTGTCAGGTGATGCTCCATTCAAAATTCAAGAAAGAAAACTTAGACTCTTTAGATTAGAGCAGAGATGTCTTTTACTGAAAATGAAGAGGTAACATCAGTAGAATTCTGAATCTGAGAAATAGGGCGCGCAAACCAGATATACAAAGTGATGGAATTGTTCCCACCCCCCATAGTTCAAAAGATTCTTCCAATCAAAAGTTCTGAATATGATCATGTGGACATCTTAAGGTGGTGATGAGGCCTCTGTCCGTTGACCTTGGCATATTTTGATAAAGGTTTTTAGCTGCGCAGAGAAAAGAAAGCTAAGCGAGAAATAGAAAATTAAACAGGAATTTATACTCCCCCCCACTTCTCATTTACACAACACAAGAATGTAACACCTCCAGCTCTTTTCCCAGACATTATCCCCCCTCCTCCCCCCGTTACTTATGGCAGCCAAAAGATGCAAAGCAGTAGTAGAAGATCTTGAAGGCTGACATTCGGCCCTCCTAGAAAAAAGACGTTAGTCCTGCAAGAGAGAACAACATGAAAGATACTGATTAATAATCAAATACATTTCTAGGGTTTATCAGGATACTTTGTGCGAAAGTCTTTGATCAGCTTAGGGGCTCTAACATCCTTTTCATTGACCCACTCAGCTTGGGAAGAAGGGAAATGTTTCCAAGCTACGAGGTATTGGAGGCGACCCCTCCATTTCCGAGAGTCCAAAATTTCTTTAACTTCAAAATGTTGTTCACCTTCAATCAACAATGGTATAGGAGGATCAGTCTGGGTTGGTCTCAGACCAGAAATGTGTTCAGGTTTCAACAAACTAACATGGAAAACCGGATGAATTCGTCGAAGAGTTTTTGGTAGTGTCAATTGGACTGTCACAGGATTTACGATCTGTTCAATCGTGAAAGGACCTACATATTTAGGACCAAGTTTCTTCGACTTTTGAGTGGTTTGTAGGTATTTGGTGGACAGGAAAACTTTGTCGCCCACTTGATATGTCTTCTGTGGAGTTCTCTTTTTATCTGCAAACTTCTTATGAGATTGATGTGCGTCATCTAATGCTTTACGAGCGACTGGCCAGTTAAGTTGGAGTTGAGATATCCATTCGTCTAGTGACTGGATGTTAGGCCTTTCATGAGGAAGCTCAGGTATGGGTACAAAGTCTTGTCCTGACGCCACTTTAAAGGGGGTGAATCCAGTACTACTATGAACAGAATTGTTGTACGCCACTTTGGCAAATGGCAATAAATCAGCCCAATTATCCTGTTGATAATTTATGTAACATCTGAGGTATTGTTCTAGCACGGCGTTAGTTCTCTCACAGGCCCCATTGGTCTGGGGATGGTGGAGTTAAAGCCCTGGGCAGAGCCTATTAACTTCAGGAACTCCCTCCAAAAGTTCGAGGTGAATTGAACCCCTCGGTCAGAAATTATACATTCAGGAACACCATGCAGTCTATAGATATGTAGTATAAACAGTTTAGCCAACGATTTTGCCAAGGGAATCTTAGAGCAAGGTATGAAATGCGCTTGTTTGGAAAACAAATCGGTTACTACCAAAATAACCGTGTTTCTGGTGCTCTCGGGTAACTCTACTATAAAGTCCATAGAGATTTCCTTCCACGGAGCCGTTGGCCTAGCCACATTTTGTAACAGCCCTGCTGGCTTACCAGGAGGCCTTTTTGCTGAGGCGCAAACTGAGCAGCTAGCCACATAAGTTTCAATGTCCTTCTTCAACGTAGGCCACCAGAATTGTCGCTTAATGAGGTGTAAGGTTTTCACAAATCCAAAGTGACCAGCCACTTTAGAGTCATGGGCTTGTTGCAATATTTGGCTTCTCAGTGTCTCTGGTACATACAACTTTGCTCCCATCCAGGCCAGCCCATCTCTAACTGTACAGTTATTCGAATGAGCCAGGAACCATTCATCAAGTTTTAGTGCCTCCTTTAATTGCGCCATCAAATCATTCGATAAATCCACTTCTTGTTTCTTCTTTTGCACTCTAGTGACCACCGGGGTGGCTAGTTGTTTGGTTGAGACAATCGGCCGTATCACTTCCTGACGAACACTGTTATATTGAGGCAGTCTAGATAAAGCATCCGCCATAAAATTCCCCCCCCCCCCCCGGGATGTACTTCAGTGAAAAGTTGAACCGCTTAAAATACTGGGCCCACCGAACTTGTTTAGGAGACAGTTTTCAAGGCGTTTTTAAGGCCTCCAAATTTTTATGGTCAGTCCATACCTCAAACGGGTGTTTCGCTCCTTCTAAGAAATGCCTCCATGTCAATAGAGCCCAGCGAACTGCAAAAGCTTCCTTTTCCCAGACGGCCCACCTTCTTTCGGTTTCAGTCAGTTTACTGGAGGTGTAGGCCCAGGGTTGTAAAGCTCCCTTCTCATTGATTTGAAGTAATATCGCTCCAACAGCCACATCACTCACATTGGCTTGGATCACGAAAGGGGCATCCATGTCCGGGTGCTTTATTCAGAATAATGTCAGGTGATGCTCCATTCAAAATTCAAGAAAGAAAACTTAGACTC